CCAAGAGCATATCCTCGACACCATCTGGGTTGGAGAATATGAGCCTTAAGAGACGGAGCTGGACCTTAGTCACTGCATCATGACCACGTGAGAGCCTAGTTGCAACTACTGGTTTTATGCGGTCTAGCTTGGGTTTCCTGCACATGTTCTCCCACGAAACCCCATCATTTTTGTCCTAGGAGCTGTATGGAAGATCAAGGCTATCTCCCAGGTTCATGATAATCAAAGGATCATTCCGGACGGTGATCTGTTTTGTCAAATGTTGATGCCTGGGCGATTTTGTTGAGCCCCGTCTTTTCTTCAACTTCGCCCTCGTTCGTGGGCGAGACACCTGCCTGTTTTACAAGCTTGTGAACGACTCGCACGGTCTGCTGACCATTCCACTTTCTTGAAGACCAAGGTTTAACCTTTCTAATTTTTGGATCACGTCGTTTAGGCTTGTCTCCTTTGTTTCCCGTCTTCTCAGACCAGATGGGTTTGACTGGAGTTGATACCTGGCTGTTCCTATTTCGTGCAATGGATACCCATTCTCCATCTTGAGCATCCTTGTTTGGCATGACCGTTTTGGTTTGCCCCTTATCTGTTGATGACAAAATACTAGTGAAAGACTGTAGAACCATCGGCGTTATTGCACTGATGAGGTCTATTGTGTCTTCCCTTAAACCGGTCCCCCGTTCATGTCGGGTGGCTTGAGTACTTTTTCCGTTAGTCGATTTTCGAACTCCAATATCTGCATGCTTGGGCACTGCTTCTGAGTTTTCCAGCTTCGCCTTTTTAGGTGTACTGTCGGTATGCTTTTTATCTTCATTAACCTCGCCTGGGTAACTGGCTCGCTAGTTACCAGCCGGTCCTAAGCCTGCATACAAAGGGAAGGTTGGGCAAAGGGCTAGCAACCCCACCTTGTAAAACCAATCGGATAGCTAAAGAAACTTGAAGGCACAAAGTAAATGTAAAAAATAAGGTTAAACCTATTCCCTACGGGAATCGGCTGGACGAAGTGGCACCGCTTGATGGAAGCCTTCGGGAAGCCAATTGGCTAATGTGTCTTCTCTTGGTGAAAGTAAAGTAAACATGGGGACATGGAGTGCCCGAACGATGTTTAAACTTGGCGAGGCTGCCCAGATTCCAAAGGAGGTGAGAAGGTATGGCATAGAAATGCTGGGAATCTGCGAGGAATCTGCGGATGGAATGGAAATGTACTCTGTCAACTGTCAACTAGGTAGTCAGTAATCTGATCCGATACTGTCACCAGGGCGACAACCACGAGCACACCCGCGGAGTGGCAATCATAATGTCCCCAACAACATCGACGGCTCACTCTTGTGCAGTGGGAACCAATCATCTCCTCCAGTATCACGTTCATGATAGCAAGATTCGACTCAAAAGGAGTGAAAATCACAACCATTCAGTGTTGCGTTACGCACCTACAAATAGCGCAGATCAAGTGAAGAAGGGGGAATTCTATGGACACCTGCAATCAGCACTGGCAACATCAAAATTCGAACGGGCGACATGAACGTCAAACTGGGAGTGGACAACACAGGGAGAGAAGGGATTATGCATCGAGAATCACTTGGAGACACGAACGAGAATGGAGAGCTGTTTGCAGATTTCTGAGCGTTCAACAATTTGGTGATGGTAGGCAGTGTGTACCAACACGTGGATATTCACAAAGTGACATGGATTTCGCCAGATGGACACACTAAGAATTGGGTCAACATAGTTCCAATCCGAAGAAAGCAGAGACACAGCCTACTGGACAGAAGATCAGATGAAGAAAGCGAGCAGATGTAGGTTCATACCGCCCACTATCTAGTGCAAGGAACCTACCTTCAAGATCAAGTTGAAAACCTTCAAAGAAGTTGGTGATGGACCACAGTTCAAATTGAACACTCAGAACAGAAACTGAACTGAAGGAAGAAACTACAAAGGGCATCTACACGTCAAACAGTCATCAGGACAAAATGGAGGACATTGAGTAACATCCCCGAAGAAACCTCCGTGAAAAAACACCGGAATTGTTTAAAAAAGACGCATAACTGTATCAGGAAGAAAGAATACAAGGCATGGATCTCCCCGGACACATGGAAGTTGATAGAGGGGGAAGAAGAAGATGGTGAAGCAGAAGATGAACTGGTGCAGTGCAGGGATGAACAACGTAATGAGGAACTGAACACAACCTATAAAACAATACGCTGGACAAAGAAGCAAAAAATTGTGCGCGGAAAGGCAACGGACGCTTATACGACATGTTGGGAAGCGAGGCAGAGCAAGCTGCAGGTATGAGAGACCTGACAACATTGTATCAAATAACCAGGTTATTATCCGTGAGGGAAGGGATCAACGCAGATGAAGTCAATGGAAGATAGTGAAGGAAACTTAGTTACCGCCAAAGAGGAGAAACGAAGTAAACAATGGGCCGAACACTTCAAAAAACTCTTGAATCAACCACCGACTGCAACTCGTCGAGAAATACCACTAGCAGTCCAGCCACGGAACTACCAGTGAACGCAGACCCTCCGACAAAAGCAGGAGTGAAGTCATGAACGCCATAAAGTTGGTGAAGTCCAGGAAAGCAGCACGACCACATGGGATTCCTGCAGAATCACTGAAAACATACACAGAGACATCAGTGGGCGTGCTCACACCACTATTGCGAAGGTTTGTAATGAAGGAAGGGAGGGTACCTGCCGATTGTATGGAAGAAGGGCTACCTTGTCAAACTCCTAACGAAGGGAGACCTAAGTCTTTGCAAGAACTGGCGTGGAATCATGCTGCTGTCCACCCAAAGGAAGCAAAATATTAATCCGCATCATCCTGGAGAAACTAAAAGATGTGCTGAATTCGAAATCACGACCGTAACAGGCAGGCTTCAGGAAGAACCAATCATGTGCCAGCCAAATTGCGACCCCACGCACCATCATAGAACAGAGTATGGAGTGGCGGTGAACTCAACTACACCTCAACTTCATCGATTTTGAAAAGACCTTCGATAGCGTCGATGGAGAAGTAATTTGGCAGATAGACACTTCAAAACCGCGGTTTTATTACCACAAAACTTTATCAACCGCGTTCAGCAGCTATACGCCACATTATTTTGCATGCCAAGTGATTTACAGTTAAAAGCTCGGTGACGTCTTTGAAGTGAACACAGGAGTAAGACAAGGCTGCCGCCTACTGTCACTGATCACCTTCCTGATTTTGGTCGACTGGATTGTGCAACAAACTGTGAGCAGCGAGAAGAGGGGCATGCGCTGTTTGACCGATGCAATGAAAAGACCCCAGGACATTTGGATTTCGTTGATGATGATTTCTGTCCAATGTCGCAGAGGCCTGAAAATCTACAGGCAAAAACCAACTAGTTAACAGAAGAGGTAGCGAGGACGGGACTTCAGGTGGGCGTTGAGAAGACAGAAATGATGAAGATATCCAAGCAGCAACAACAACAACAACAACAAGCACCAATAGCTATGAGGGGAAGCAGTCTAAAGAAAGCTGTCTCCTTCCCCCCCTCTACCTAGTTGAGGATATCATAGCCAGGATTAAAAAAGCAAGACAGGCGTTGATTAATCTGAAGCCAGTGTGGAGACCTACTACACTGAACTGCACTACACTCAGCATAAAGCGTCAAAAGATGCAGATTTTCAACACCAATGTCAAATCAGTCCAGCCACATGGTTCAGAAACTTGGCATGTCACGAAAAGCATTTCCAACAAACTACAGACATTGATGAACAGCTGCCACCTACACTCACTCGATACTGAAGATCAATCAGATGGCCAGAATAATAAGAATAAGCAACAAGGAACTCTGGTGGGCAACGAACCAACCAACCAAAGAAGAACCCATCGTCCAACAAATATGCGGAAGAAAGTGTAGATGGATTGGGCATACACTGAGAAGACCATTTGGAGACATCACGCTCCAGGTCAGACCCTTGAGTAGAATGCAGATGGGAAACGACAAATAGGGCATCTAGGAACAGGGTGAAATGGAGGAGATCATGTGAGGAGGAAATGAAAGTGTGGGGGTAGTCGCGAAGCCAGGTTTATAAAACTGCAGAGATGAGAGTGAAGTGGTGATGGTGACGTTTTACTGAAGCCATATGTTCCACTAGGAACCCAGAGGACAAATAATAATAATCAACACGCTTACGATGCTCTCAAGAAAATCAGCCATTGTAGGCCAACACAAGTAACATTGCCACTCGTGACCAGGCTTCCTGAGTTTGGTGGGTCCAGCTTGCTTTGAGAAGGTGCAATCGCCGAGTAACCACTCGTCGCAGGTATTACATTGCATACCCACCTTAACAGGTAGACCGCAGCCTTGCCTTCAGTATATCTGCTTGACTACCATTGTCGTAAAAGTATAAAAAGGAGTAAAAAAAGTCAGCAAAGAAACCCGGAAACATTTGAAAAGGGGCAGGAGCCCTAGTGTTGTCAGATTAAACCAGAATTGAAACGAAGGTTAAGCCTTATTATCCTAGTACGAACAGAAATAAGCTTAAAAATAAGGTAAACTTATCTAACTTGAAGTTAGAAAGAATACCCTTTCTGAAAACCATTGCGTTATTCACAGTGAAAGCCAAGTTTCTAAATCACAGTAGGATTACGCTTCCTTTCAAAAAGCTTACCGAAGGACACACAGGAACTACCCTAGAATATATCAGAGACGACTGCCATTCCTTAAGAGCAGTGAAACCATGGGGCACTTTTCCTGAAGAAGCGACACAGGCCACTTCATCTGAATCCACTTGGCAGCATCTTGATACTTACATAAGATTTGAGTGGAATCTGGTCAGAACTAAATAAATTTTCAGATTTCAACCACCTACATTTGCTCTCTCACTGTACATAAGTTGACAACTAGAAGAACTGGTGATTCACAGATCCTAGATGTGAAAGGCAGTAGAGTTTAGGCTACTTCTAATGCTTTAGTAAACGTTTGAATTTGCCTTTGTTTATCCGCATCTCAGTTGGCACTGCTTATTGCCTTGACCGTAGTTCAAAATGTGTTCTAAGATGGAGACATTATGACAATTGTTAAGCGGAAGTGTAACTCTATTTTTGTCTTGTGGGATGAAATAGGATTCGATGGAACAGAGCTTGAAGAAAAAGTGTGCTTTGTCGCTAAGCAGCTGGAGATCTTGCTCGATAATGTCTTATGTGGTGAGGAAAAACAGAAAACACAGTTATTGGAATCCATTAATGAGCTTAATGTAAACACCTAATATGCTACCTTAGCTCTTGATTTAGATGTGTATCCAGGAAATGAGTTTAGAACTCTACAACACTTCTTTTGACCCACTTACGTCAACGCCTCTGTTAAAAACATATAATTATTTATTGAAGAAAAAGGCTGAAATTTCTAAGGATGCAGAAGATATTATCCAAAGATTTGAATCGTTAAAGGAGTCAGAGAAAAGCTTATGCGAACGTTTGTGTGAAACAGAAACTCCGATCGGGTGTAAAGTGATCCCATCACCGGAGCAGTTGGAAATCCTCAGTAGACACGTTGACCATCTTGTCAGTATCAAAGTAAGTCAGTACAAAAAACCTCCATTTTCACAGGCTGAACGTTCAAACAGATTTGTCAAGCTTAAGATGCAGATGGTTGCTGCATATGAAAAGCTCGGGAAGCCGCTTGAACTTATCGCCAACTCTAACGCTTTCCTCAGTAGTGTACTTGCTCCAGATGCATTGGAAACCTTCACTCTTTCGGAAGAAAACATATATTCAATGACAGACATCGCTGATCAACTGGTTACTGAGTGTGAACACGTTGATATAGAGTGCAATTTCCATAGAGAACGTCTTAACCACCTCATCCACCTTCTGAGTCCGTTAGGCGTCTCTTGTGATACAATTGAAAGCGAAAACTCAAGTCTTATACTAGGCAGAGTAAGTTAATTGCTTTTTTTAAACGCAAATTCGAGATGTTACTAGCACTTTCTGCATTACACTTCATGAGATAGTGAGGATAAGTTGCCAGCATTGAGTTTAAGTGACATAGTTGGTGCTCATAAAGAGACAATCATCAGCCCAACAAGGGTGTTTTAAACAATTATGATCCCATACTACCAAGCCCTAGAAAAGCAATGGCTTTTCAGTGTTGTATGCATATCGTGTCTGTACTCCCTAGCTTAGTGAGCCGAATAGATTTGGAATGTCTGTGCGGGAAGTAATGAATAAAAGTATTAGTGACAACAGGAATAGAATTATCCCTCCGGATAAGTGACTCCAAAGTCAGAACAGATATGAACATGGAAGCGACTAGGCTAAGTCTAGGAAAGGTCACTGATTTTTGTACATATACGCTCTTCTGAATTCTACTAGATGAAAGACCTACACGACTCTGAAGAATCAATGTTACACATCGTTCCTTTAGGGCCTTCTAATGTATCTGGTAGGTGTAATCTTTCGGCCATTGAGTATTGGACTGGTCACTGCTGATCGCCCGATTAGAACAATTAAGTGATTTGTACAAGCTGAATGTAGACACCATCATATTCATGGGTGATCCAAATCTCCCAACCGAAAGCTTTAAAAATGTTACCTAAAAAACATCAGAAGACTACGTCCGTCATTATTGTTACAGATATCATGAGAATTGGTTTCTGGAACACATAAACGACATCGCATGCATGGAAAACCAAATGCCTTGACAACCGCTTACGTATTCACAGAGTTCTAGGTGGGTTGCCTCAGCATTTACGCCTTCCTAATAAATAGTGACGACGCAGTAGTCTTTTACTTCGACTCGAAACAGTACCATGGGAAACGGTAGTATAGATACAAGGAAGTCAAGTACAGCGGGTGAAAACAAGATGTATTGAGAGACAAGGATTATTATTGCATATCCGGAGGAGAAAATAAGTTGGAAGTTAGGACATTTTTATTCATAATAATGTTGGTCCTATCTTTTGGCACCATGTATCGAATATAAGCATGTTTCCTACTTAAAACAATGAAAATTATCAAGGCCTGGCGAACCAATAGTGACGATCTCTTGCTGCAATCATCTTCAGATAACCATCTATTACCGACCAGCACGAACTAAAGACAAAGAGGAAATATTGTATGATATGACTTCGACCGAATTCTAATCAACTGTGAACATAGATAGGTCATATTACTATGTGTTGTCACTGGATAGGGTCGGTATAAAATTGCCACTCCTTGTGGTGCATATTTGGACAGCAATTACGCGTTTGTTGGAGCGTGTGCGTATATTTCCTCTAAATGGAGGTAGAAAAACTACAACAACATGACCATTCTTAATGCAGCTCGAGGATAAGAATACTAGAACTCATTTGAGCGCCAAGCTGACTAGACAGTTATCGTAACAAGACAATGCGGAAGAAGCTTGTCAGCATTCCCAGTTAGCTGTAAAAGCAGCGTTAATGATGTAACAAACTTTTAGAAAGATATTAGAAAGACTCGGTGAATTTCAGCAGCTTCTTTAGAAATGATGTGTGTGCGTGGACGCATTTCTCCAGGCCCCGAGCTCAATAAGTAACGGAAGCAAGTGAAATGTAAAATGGTGAGTTTATACAACAATGGTAGGCAGGCGTAGGTATCAAAGGTCAAGGAGAGGAGAAAGGCTGTAGTGATAGATGACGGGGACAATTATTTGGGCTAACCAAGAAAAGTGAAGTGAAAAAGTAATTGGTTAGTGAAACTGGTGGAGAAGGACAGGTCTGTGATTTATTCGTAGGGGAGACGACTGAAATAATGAGCGAAACACTTTAACGAACAATTCATCTGACTTGTAGCTATTTCGTTGTGTGAAGTCTGTATTTCCGAAAGAAACATTGAGATAAGGTCGCCAACTCTTGCCAAAGCTGTTAAGGTGGTGGGTGACTGGAAACCAGAAAGGGCAGCAGAGCCAGATGGGCTTGTATCAGAGATATTTAAAAACGGTGGTAGATGATTATTCATTAACTGAACCGTCAACTAGTATATGGGAGTTAGATATGGTCCCACGTAACTGCTCTTAAACACTGATTGTCCTAATCTTCAAGAAAGGTGAGAAGTCCTCTTGTGACAAGCAAAGAGGGATCAGCGTGACGGATATAATGTCTAATATTCCAGGTTGTATGATCATTGGACTCCTGAGGAAAGCTCGGAAACAGTAAACTCGAGCAAACCAGGCAAGCTTCAGACCTGATGTAGAGTATGTCTACTAGATATTTCTTGACCTGAAGGCGAAATTCGACCGCATCGACTGAGGTTTTGTGGTAGTCTCTTGCTGAAATGGATGCCAGGTAAGTACATTACTCTGTTGAAGGCCCCATGTTTAAGCATGCATGGCCGTGTCAAAGTCTATAATATGTTTTTGTGTACGTCGAGTGGTGTCCATCAAGGATGTTCAAGTCAAGATAAACGACTCTAAAAGACTCATAGTCTACCGGAAACACTAAGTACAACACCAGTGCCTCGAAAAGTCAGAGGATTTTGTAGTTGGTGCATTTGAAATCCTGAAACTACTCATGAGCATTGTCTTGGCCCAATTTATAGCCGTATTCAAGGAAATGTCATAACTGTACGTTCAATGTGCACTTCGGTTTGAGTGCTATGGCACCGGAGACATGTCAGACAGTTAACTAACATACTGAAACTTTTCTAGCCGTTTTTGTCCTGCAAGTGGTACTGGTCTTGATGTTTTTGAACTTTGTATTAAGTTCTTGCACCGTTTGAGTCAAACATTAGATCAGAGATTCAAAGCCAGTTCCCAAATTGCAAGCAGGTGAAACTTTATCATCGTAAAGGATATCACTCATGACCTAATACTTGAGTGTATTTGTATGAATATGATTATCCTGTAGAAATTCTACTCCCTAATTATTTTTTCCCAGCTTCTGTTAAACTCAATTGAATCAGATCACTGTCTAGTGAATCGACCATTAATGTAGACAATGAAATTGAGAAATTGGTGTCAACTGTTTATTGTGCTAGGGACCTGTAGGAATGCGTTCAGTGGTACCAATTAATTGGATGAAACTGTTGAGATCCGCCGATCCCTTCATACCTTTTTCTAGTGATTCATTAACAGTTTGATTTTGAAGAAGACCCCAACTGGCACTAGGCTATTTCTGGACTAGTAATATTGTCATGTTTCCATTAATGTGGTCAGCTCGTATTTGAAAGTAGTCTACACATAGAAGAGGATAAAAAGAAAGGTTGGTTTCGATGTAAAAAGTCATTATACAAAGATACCAATCAATATGACACTGGAGGCAGTCAGAACTCAACCAAATGCTGAGTCAAAATTTACTCACAGGACTAAGATTTCAGTTGATAAAATTATATTAGGCGTACAGTTGTGCCTGACCTCCACAGTCTTCAAGTCTCAGGACAAAATATACAGACAAACAGAAGGAGTATCATTGGGATCACCAATATCCCCAATCATGGCAGATATATTCATGGATCGCTGGGAAACATGGCTTTACAAACGTTTAATCCTACACAAAAAATATAGTCGCGATATGTGGATGATACATTCACCACTGCACTCTCTTGAAATCGGAACATATCGACAATTTCCTCACTTATAAACTCAGTAATAAGTGCAATCCAATTCACTTATGAGGTAGAAACTGAACAAGGAGAATTACCCATGTTGGATTGCAGGATAAAACGAAGGACAGATGGTGGTTTGGATACTACGACCTACAGGAAACCGACACATTCCAACAGGTATCTAGACTTCAAGTCATCTCATCCAATGTCAGTTAAGGCAGATTTAATCAAATGTCAAAATGATAGAGCTAGGAAACTGGTAGTCAGTGCAAGGATCTAAACAAGGAATTAAAGCACGTAAAAGAAGAGTTATCCTCCGTAGTTAATTAAGAAATTCGTACGAACATACAAGAAGCGATAAGACAGCAGTAACATGAGTAGAAAGGAGTTCACATCCTCCATTGTGTTGCCGGATGGGCGTACGCTGGACCTATGAAAGAAGCCTCGAAGATTTGGATTCCACCGATGATTTATGTCTAGTGTAAAAACTCGAAGATCTATGGGTGAAAACTAACAAGTTGATAGAACAGGCAGGACAGTGAAGACGGGACTTCAAGTGAATTTAGAGAAGACGGAGGTGGTGAAGATACTCAACGAACAACAGCATCAACAACAAGCACCAATCAGCATTAACGGGAGAAACCTAAATGAAGTAGTCTTTTACATCTACCCACCTTCCTAGGTAGCATCATTTCATCTACAGGCGGCACGGATGAGAATGTCAAAGCCAGGCTAGGAAAAGCAAGATAGGCTTTCACTAATCTGAAATAATCAGTGTGGAGATCTACTGCACTCAGCATAAAGCGTAAACAATATCCCGAGTTTCAACACCAAGTCAGTCAAGTCAATGCTGCTTTATGGTTGAGAAACTTGGCGCGTCGCGGGAAGCACTTCCAACAAACTACAGACATTGATCAGCAGCTGCCTAAACTCGATACTGAAGATCGATCAGATGGTCAGAATAGTAAGAATAAGCAATAAGGAACTCTGGGAACGAGCCAAGCAAGAACCTATCACCCAACAAATATGCGGAAGAAAGTGGAGATGGATTGGGCATACACTGAGAAGACCATTCGAGGACATCGCTTACCAGTCCAGGCAGGCAAGGGTGATATGGAGGAGGTCATGTGAGGAAAAAATCAAAGCTTGTGGGCAGTCGTGGAGTTACGTTCGAAAAACTGCAGAGAAGAGAGTGCAATAAAGGCGTGCAACTGAAGCCCTATGTTCCACTAGGAACCCAAGGGAAAAATAATAATTGTGTTACCATATAAAGAAGGTACATCAAAAACTTTACCTAGGATTCTCAACAAAGCTGGAATTATGGTGGCATTTAAACCCACAAACTTACTTGGAGATAAGGATCTGATAGAACCAATTAGACAAAATCTAATCTGTCAAATTCCACGTAATGACCGCGAGGCCAAACTAGTCATTATGGGTCAGTTAAAGTAGCCGAACATAGGAATTTAGTCAAGTACAGAATGAAAGACCCGAATAAGATCAATAATCTAGAAGAGAACCTCGGCTATTGCAGTGTATGCATTAGCACAACCACACAACAGGGTGGGATAAAATCACTGTATTGAGATCCGATATAATTAGGTGGAGATTGAGAAGAGTTGATCGAGTTCGTCGAATCAACACCACCCAACACATGTAATAGGAATGACGCAATATCTATACCAGAGATATGGAAAACTTTACTACCAATAGAAAAAACAATAAGAGATGACAGGACAATAAAAAGTGGTGTGATTACATTGATGTGGTTATGAGCAATAATTTATGCTTGAAACGTCATCAAGTAAATAATACTGTGTGTTGTTATAAAGCAAAAAAATCCAATATAGAATTAATCTTCTCTGTAAACTTGAAAGATTTGATGAGAAGACGAAGACTATCTGAGACAGTTGATGTATCGGCGCTATACCATATTAATGGCAGAGCTTTTTCTGTTACTATTTGATCTTTCTAGTAGCATGTCAAAGAACACATCTGCGATAACATGGCTTTCTGTGGTACACTAGCCTGACCACCACGTCAACGTGATAGCTGTCAGCTGGATTCGAGGCTGTCCGTTTGGAATATTCTTCGAAGATAATTGTTGTGTCCACTACAAGTAGATTAATCATTTTTGTTATTTATATCCCCGTAGTCGTGCGTCGTGTTATACTATTGCTTGTTTGTGTGGTAGCACAAAGGTCTTACGATTTAAACCCTTGTTAATACTTTTTTTCAAATTCTCTTCAATGTTGTAGTTGCGAAAGGAAGTCGATAGATTGGAAGCCATTCGTACCCGTCATTTGGATACTTTGATTTCTGCTACGCGATCGCAAGTTTACAAATATTGGGATGAATGCTTTGTAGGAAATGAGCATCGTCGGAATTTCGAATTTTCACTGCAAGATAATGATAATGAAAATGTACTGCGTATTTTTGAGAAGGAGGTAATGCGTTTAAATCATTTTAATTTCAATCAATAGGTCAATATTTGGTCAGATTTCAAAAAAGTCAATTCTCACTTACTTTTAGACATCGTTAAGTGGTGTGAAAATTTTTCTGGTCTTCAAACAATAAAGGTAATTTATGTGGATTTTTTAAGGCCATTTCGGTGTGTGGAGATGCTTTTTAAATTACGTTCATGTATTATTTACTATGAAGATGATAATACATGATTGTGCTAATCTTCTTTCAGTCAGCTGACCTGAAAGTGATAGCTTGTCAACAACTTGTAGCTCCTACATAATTTCCTCTTAGTATGCATGTTCAATACCAGCTACACTTAGTTCCTTAAAAAGTTATCACTACTTTATGGACGTTACAGAGACCTATCTATCTGAAGAGTTTTACTAATAAATGTGTCGGGTGCTCTGTACTTCAAATTTTGTTCACGATGCACCAATATTTGGGTACATAATGTTGTACACATTATCATTATTCCGTGTTAGCCAATCATTATTGCACATCACGAGGCTTTAGCATACAGGTATGCAAAAGTGATTGACATCGGATTCGGTCACGCGTTGAAAAATTCCTCATGTTCTCTGCACAAATTATGTATCCGGAGGACATTTTTATTCATAATAATGTTGGTCCTATCTTTTGGCACCATGTATCGAATATAAGCATGTTTCCTACTTAAAACAATGAAAATTATCAAGGCCTGGCGAACCAATAGTGACGGTCTCTTGCTGCAATCGTCTTCAGATAACCATCTATTACCGACCAGCACGAACTAAAGACAAAGAGGAAATATTGTATGATATGACTTCGACCGAATTCTAATCAACTGTGAACATAGATAGGTCATATTACTATGTGTTGTCACTGGATAGGGTCGGTATAAAATTGCCACTCCTTGTGGTGCATATTTGGACAGCAATTACGCGTTTGTTGGAGCGTGTGCGTATATTTCCTCTAAATGGAGGTAGAAAAACTACAACAACATGACCATTCTTAATGCAGCTCGAGGATAAGAATACTAGAACTCATTTGAGCGCCAAGCTGACTAGACAGTTATCGTAACAAGACAATGCGGAAGAAGCTTGTCAGCATTCCCAGTTAGCTGTAAAAGCAGCGTTAATGATGTAACAAACTTTTAGAAAGATATTAGAAAGACTCGGTGAATTTCAGCAGCTTCTTTAGAAATGATGTGTGTGCGTGGACGCATTTCTCCAGGCCCCGAGCTCAATAAGTAACGGAAGCAAGTGAAATGTAAAATGGTGAGTTTATACAACAATGGTAGGCAGGCGTAGGTATCAAAGGTCAAGGAGAGGAGAAAGGCTGTAGTGATAGATGACGGGGACAATTATTTGGGCTAACCAAGAAAAGTGAAGTGAAAAAGTAATTGGTTAGTGAAACTGGTGGAGAAGGACAGGTCTGTGATTTATTCGTAGGGGAGACGACTGAAATAATGAGCGAAACACTTTAACGAACAATTCATCTAGGGTGCATGGATTACATATCTTGGTATGTAAATATGCTGCCAGGATGCAGTCTTGTGGATATTTCGAGTCGTAATTAGAGAATGTTTAAGATGCCTTCCTCATAACTGAAGTGACAATTTCTACTCAAACACAGGTCTGTTCTCCTGTATTACTGTGATATATTAGGATCTAATCTACAGAACATAGGAGGGCTTCTGGTGTTCGATCACCGTGACCTTGGTGCTAACACATCAGTAAGTTAGATAATGTTTTGAGAGGAAAAGGATGGTCATTTGATGAAATCGTTAACTTTCATCGACTGAGGTGGGTGGAATATGTGTCTGGCCACTGTCTTGAATGTGACTGTGAGACATGGCAGTTAAGAGTAGATGTGAAGCTATTACAAGTCTTTGATTGTAAGTGTCTTCGTCTCATTGCTCACGTTTAGTGAATTCACCGTATGAGCAGTGTTGAGTTAGGTCGAAGGGTACTAGGAAAGGAATACAAGTCTTGAACCTTTGTCGACTGATGGTGGGAAGTGACTGAGAAATGAGTTGGACATGCTGAGCCATCTCCCCGTCGATGTGCAATGCTGGAGGAAGTTGGATTAGGCTGGAATAAGACTCGGTGTGGTCACACCAAGAACAGTGCATGAAGTCTCTGACTGCTGGTCTAAGCCGTTTAAGGAGGTGTAAACTACGTGATCGAGGTCCTCAAGACTGGAAATCGGTGGCTGAGGACTCCTGGCGAAGTGGCTGAAAATCGTTGACAATGGCGATGTCTTCTAAAGATTGAATTTTCTGACTAACTTTCACACTTAACTTCTCCCCCATATATCTTTGTACACGTTGATATCACTTTATCTATCCAGTTGTTCTTTGTATACTACTGTGAAGTATGGGAGCTTGGACCACTGCACTTGTGTGTGAGGTTCCACGTTGATTTTGCCTGTCTGTCTGTCTGTCTGTCTTGTGTTACAACTTGAACTGATATACTTCTGTACGAGTTCCAATTTTTTATTCACCTATTTATCCTTTAATCATCGTGTCAGTGGGTGTAAATGTTCAGTTCCTAACATTTTGCGCATTACTTTAGTAATCGGTCAATTCATGAGTATAACTTTTGGCCAGTCATCCAAATGGTCATTATTCAAAGATTGGGTATCGTTTCTTTCACCATACACCTTTTTTCTGATTTAAGCAACGAATGCAAGATCCTTCGGTATTGCAAAACCGTGGTGGTATACTGTTGAAACTGGAAAAAGAACGTAAACAATTATCACGTGAAATGTCCAGTTTGGAAGGGAGAATTGAACAGTCCTTTTCCCAGCTTCTCTCAACCAATCCTTCATTGGCCTCAGCCATCCGAATAGGATCAAAAAGTTTAAATCCGGTTGACTTTATTAAACACTCTTTGGAAGGCCTTCACAATGACAAAGAAAATCAAAAACAAGGTGGTAACATGCCTAAGTCATCAAAGTAATAGTTTATCTTTGATTTTATTCTTTATGAAATATTTAGGCATTCCACTAGATTACTGTAGGGCACCTTTGAAAAGCAGAAATGACTGGGAACTTGTTTCAGTTCAAATTTTTTGATGATAACCATTTAACTCTTTCAAGAGGTAGATCTGTAACGTGTAGACAATACAATGGTCAACTTTCCATTGAGCTAGGGGTTGTTATTTTTCAACCCTCATCAGCTTGTAATGTAATTCCGGGGAAAATAGTCTTGACAAGTGCATTTTATTCGATTGTAAACATACTGTTGAAGAGTTTAATGGCATTTTGCAGTTGTTCAGACCTTGATGAGTGGAGCGGATTTGGAGTTCATGACACATGGACAAAGAAGACACACATGTGTTAATTTGTACTACAGCCAGACTGCTATTTCTAGGTTGGCTGAAGTAAAGAAGTAGTGACTGTTGTCGTTGGAATCGGTAATCCTGACGTGACTAAAATTCGGTTATATTGGTACAAATATGTCCACTCTCCCACATGTTCGAAAGTTTGAATATTGCCACTAATATTCATGCTTTCTATTTGTCTTTCCTCCCATACAGTTATGCTTGCTTGAGTATTCTCTTGTTTTTTTGCGTGGTGATGTGAAGTGTGGCAACTTGAACCGATAAACTTCTGTATCGATTCATCTGTCTTTTCTGTCATTATCAATGGATATTGGAGTTGTTTGTTGTTTCAATAAACTAACCTGTTAGTTTTGCGGTTGGAAACTTGATGATAATAGGTATCTAGTGTGTAAAATTTACTTGTTTTTAGGAGTGTTGTTTTTGGAAGTACTTGTGTAAAGCCTAAAACTTAATACTAGAAAAAGCATAAGTCAATTGATAGGGCTTTGAACCTACTGGCTTGTTTTATCGTTTCGCGTGTTACCTCCTGCCTTTCTTTTTTCTCTGTTGCTGAAGTAGTGAGAGCCATTTAAGTCACCGTTATTTATTGTATTTAATGTGTAGTCGGTTTCATGGTTGACTTTCCTGAGGGTGTACATAATCAATTTTTAAATACGCTTAGTAGTATAGTTCGAGGTTGAACATCACGCCAAACAAATGCACCCACGCTTTCTGAATCCCCATTCGATTTCTAAACTATTTCTTTTTTGTTTAGTATATTGTGGCAACTTAAATAGATCCACTTCTATTCAAAGTCCTTTGTTTTTAAAAAAAATTGTCTTTCCAGTTACAAGAACGCTGAATCTCGACCTGTTGCTGGTAAACAGCTGAAACGAACAAATCCATTTAGCAATGAAACAACTATGCCACAAGATTTCAGTTCAAGCAGTTCTATATCGTCTACAACAATCAAACATCAGACAAGAGAGGAACGAAGTGTTCAAGATACATACAAGGTTAATACTAAATTTTAATATGTTAAGTGTACAAATGAGTGTTTGATTTTTTTGTTATTATTATTTGTCCTTGGGTTCCTAGTGAAACATAGGGCTTTAGTAGCACGCCTTCATTCCACTGTTCTCTGAAATCTTTTGAACCTGGCTCCACGACAGCCCACAGCTTTCATTTCTTCCTCACCCTCGGACGCCCAACTTGTCGTTTCCTGTTGGGTTCACTCGACGGTCTGGCCTGGCGCGTGATGTCTCCAGTCGGCCTTCTCAGTACATGCCCAATCCATCTCCACTTCGATTTTCTTATTCTGCATATTTGTTGAGCGATAGGTTCTTGCTTCATTGGTTTGTTGCCAGACAGCCAGAGTTCCTTGTTGCTTATTCTTATTATTCTGGCCATCTGAGCTTCAGTAATGAGCGTAGGCAGTTGTTGATGAATGTCTGTCGTTTGCTGGAAATGCGTTTCGTGACACGCCAACTTTCTCAACTATATAGCAGCACTGACTTGACGTCGGTGTTGAAAATCCGGATCTTGTTGACACTTTATGCTGAGTGGAGTGCATAGATCTCCACACTGATTTCAGGTTAATGAAAGCCTGTCTTGCTTTTCCGATCCTGGTCTTGACGTCCTCGTCTGTGCCGCCTGTAGTTGAAACAGTGCTGCCTAGATAGGTGAAAGAGGCTACTTCCTTTAAGTCTATCCCGTTGATGGTGATTGGAGTTTGTTGTTGTTGGTGGTAGTGGTAGTGGTGTTAGTTGGGTATCTTCATCACCTCCATCTTCTCTACGTTCACTTGAAGTCCCGTCTTCGCTGCCCTGCCTCTTCTGTCAACTTGTTAGTTTTGCCTATAGATCTTCAAGTTTGTGTGACATCAACACAAGTCATAGTTGGCGAAATCCAAATCTTCTAGACTCTTCACCTCGGTCCGGCGTATCCCCCTCTTCTTGCTCCTCATAGTTTTTTGCATGATCCAGTCCACTACAATCAGGAATATCATGGGTGATAGAAGACGGCAGCCTTGTTTTACTCCTGTCTTCACTTCAAAGGCATCACTGAGCTTCCCATTGTGAATTACTTGGCATGGTGCATCTTCATATAGTTGAATGAGGTTAATAGAGGTTTGTGGTATTCCGTAGTGCTGGAGTAGTTGCCAAATTACTTGTCGGTCGATAGTGTTTGATTAAGAATTGAGAAACTTCATATAATTTGGCTTTTTGTTACCTGTCGGGAAAGAGAATGTATATTATATGTTTAACTGTGGATATTCTATACATCACAGGTTTTCTTTATTGAGACTTCATCTTAACATTTAAAAAGTCATGTGAAATTTTTATCTAATAATGCACTAAAACTTAATTACTTACACTTCCAAATATCTGTTCTTTTGTTACTTTCTAAGGTTTTTATGATGAAAGTTTTTAAAACTTGATGTCTACTTTATTGGCTTAGTTTCATGAGATATTCATACAGTAATTGTAGCGCTTGCCTATCTTTCTATCTCCGTTTATAGGAAGAACAATGGCATCTATAATTCCTTTCACACTATTTGAACTTTAAGGATGTCGTGTAGTCTGCACATCTCAAGCCCCTAACTACCTCGATGTGCCATGCTAGGGGAAGCTGGATTAGGTTGGAAGGAGGGTTCCGGGTGGCTAGACCAAGATATGACGCCAGTCCATGACTCTTGGTCTCAGCCGTGGGGAGAGATGCAAACTGTCTAATTGAGGTCCCTGAGAAGATAGAAATCAGTGGTTGAGAACTCCTGGTGAAATGGCTAAAGATCGGTTACAATGGCCCAGATGTACTCATTGCTTGACATCTTTTAAAGCTTGATTATTTCTACTCACCTTTATCTTCGAATTCTTTATCCGATACAACTCCTGGCTATGACATCCTCAACTATGCCGCCGCTTGTAGTTGAAAAGATGCTTCCTAGGAAGGTAGGTGAAGGAGACAACTTCCTTTAGATTTTTCCCGTTGATGATGATTGGTGTTTGTTGTTGTTGATTGGATACTGAAGTAGATATTATTTGATTGACTAAAACCAGAGAAACAACAGGTACACTGAGAATGTGGTTTAAAAGATGTTGTTCGACTCCATCAATGTTTATTCATCATATGAAACTGAAGATTCTGGATCATATATCCTTGGCTGACTTCAGCTTCGAATCCGTATATTGTATCTAATAAAAACTCAGTTATCTGTGAATGACACTCAGAACTGCATTGATTTAACGTGGTTTCGTTCATGTTTTTGTAGCAGCACATTAAGAAGATTGAATAAGCTATTTTCATCTTGACTTGAAGAAGTCATCTGAACCCGTTGAATAAAATATATAACTACAAAATAATACTATAAGTTAACTGTTTCAGCAAAAGTCTCAACATATAAAAAGTAATTCAGTTTTAGGTTTTGCTTCAAGGCAGCATTCATCTGACGTCAGTCGAAGAACCATTGAAAACTTGGGGGCGCTGGACAACTTTTTAGTCTTAGTATGAGACCTGAAGGTCCTGAGTTCGATCCTTCGTTGGTGTTTACTGCTGAGGAGTCCCATACTAACATGAAAGAGCTGTCCAGTACTCCCAAGTATTCACTGATTCTCTGATTGATATCAGCCCATGATAAATACTTCTTGGATATAGAAAATAATCTATTAGGGTTTAACTAACCATGTCCTGTATTTTCTTTTTTTTTTCACTCATGCCCTGTTCTACTACGTGGCTGTGAAACATGGCCATTAAAGTTGTAGGATATGAGAAGTTTTCAGGTGTTTGACTACTGCTGCGTTCCTAGCATATGTTGTATGTCTTGGTGTCACTATATCAGTAATGCAAAAGTTAGACGTACAATTCTAGATAGAAAAGGAAGGTCAGTCGATGAGGCTGTGACAGATGTAGAAAGTCAATATCAGTATAAAACAAGGCATTACTACTGTCTGCTGATTAAAATTGCCACATTTCATATCACTGCATCAAACGACAATGCACCAAGATGAAAGATACAAAAGAAACCAGTCAAACGTGTTAGGCAGTTGTCAAGAGAAAGCAAGGAGAAATCAGAGGAATACTGAAATTCCCTAGAATAATTAAGATGAAGATAATGTGTGTAGGGGTACATCTGCGCCACGGACATCGATTCCGAGCTATGTAACTTAGTCTCCAACCATTGATTCTTGATAACTGCAATATTCGGTTTTGTAATATATAAGAGTACCTTCCATCAAAAGGCACGTGCTAGGTGACATTTATAAAAAAAAGGTAATTAGAAGATACTCGGAAACCAGATCAGTACATTACTCAGCTATCAGCAACTTGAATAACTTGAACAGTTTGCGAATCAGCGTACTGACTATACGAACTGATGAAACAGCAAGTAGCACATTAACATGTTTACTGGACTGAAGCTGTTCAGCATACAAAGAATTACAAGAGCTGAAATTTTTTCGCTGATGTAATTCCAAAGTGTGTTACTACAACTAAGACGTTTTCATTAGCATTCTGCATGACATATCGTATCAACTTAGAATATAAACTTGCCGATGGTGTTTAGCCTGTCATTGTTTTACACTTCAGTCTGCTTAACTTTCAGAGAATAGTCGACAGTAAAGTTTCCAATTTAGGCTCTGCAAAATTTGGTGTTCATTTACTTTCGAACTCGCGTACTTGTTAGAAGTAAATTAAACTGTTCACAATATTTTGCAACTGTTTTTCATCAAATTAAATAATTTATTGCTTCCTATTCATTGCTTAGTCCTGCAGCGTAATTGTATCCCGCCGAAAAAACACTTTTGCACGTGATATTTAGAAAATGTCATAATCTTAAACTGCTTATAATTTTGAATACTTTTCTTTTATTATCACATCATTTTCTAGAAACCCGAAGTAATTAAATCCGAAGTTATTCCACGAAGGCGAAGTCGCTCAAATCCTCCATCAAGCCAACGATTTCTCCCATCGACAGGAAATAGTAATCAGCCTATATCATACATCCCTGTCCTGAGGGAACAGAATCCGAAGCCATCGAAAAGAGTAATGGATGATATAGATTTACGCGAAAAAACCGCACTGGCAAGACCATCTCCCTTGGATATTGAAAGTTTCTATGAGGGTTTCAAGGTTTGTTACTGTGTATACTTATCATCAACTGTAAGGTAAAATTGTCCAGTAAGGTTTTTCCTGATCACACAGTAACTCGAAACAAAAATTAAAATGACAACTTCTATCTTGGCGACTGATGACTTAAAATGATTTCCATTATATATATGTATATATATATATATATATATATATATATATATATATATATATATATATATATATATATACGAGTTTGTTGCAGACGGTAACCTTTTTTTGATCGTTGAGTTAAATTGTCGTAGAGACGAAAATCAATTTAATTTTTAGATGAGTAATCTAGCAGATAAGTCTAGGAAGTCTATTGAAGTTAGGCAGGTCAGGTAGAACAAAAATAGAGGCAGTCTATCAACTACTGCAATAATCAATTAAGTCGTTTTGTCTGAAAATGTTCCTTCATAATGTAAAGAAACATAATTGGTTATTTAGCAGTTGCTAAAGTCACTGGGCTGTTAAATATGCAGTAAAGTGATAAGTTATTAGGAAGAAATGAGTAAGAACAAATATTACTATTTATGAAAAGTGAACTTGCTAGGAATGAATAATGTCCAGACCTGCCTAGGTCTGCGCAGCCAGATAGTATCACAAGCCCTCACTACCTACTGCACGGATGTGCACAACGTGACAGTGGGTTGGTTTACTTTTCTACTGTGGGGTAATCTGATAGAGGGATTAGTATAGTTACACGGATAATCAATATGATGCACCCCTTCTCTAATTCAAGTAGATTTGGATCGGGATGAGAAGTCCTGAGTGGGCAGGCAGTGAATTTACGATCAAACAATGGTAACATGTGACGAATTCACATGGCAGCCGGGCGAAGCCCTGCCTTGTAATTGAAGTGAAATAAAGATCTGATCAGCAACCATGTCTCTTATCTCAGTTGGTAGGACATCAAGATGGAAACCCAGTGGTCGCTGGTTCGAGTCCTGCCGTGGCTCAGATTTTCGCTTCACTTTCAATCATCACCCACTGTAAATAGTCTACCGAACCACGGCTATCTCAGATAATCGAACTGATGCCTAACATAAGTGTAAAACTTGTGCACTGTGGTGGAATGTAATTCCATACTGTATTCGCTTAGTTGATATAGCAGTGACACAGTATTGTTTAGTGGACGACGTTTGGAGCATACACCATTTCTCATAATCATATACAAAATAAACAGTTAAAGCATATATAAGGAATGCTACTAACTAATAATTGTCCTCTAGAGTTTATTAAGAAATTCGTAAGAACACATTGGAAACGAATTTGGATGATGACAATGACAACACGAGCAGAAAGTTCGAAGCATCTATTGTGTTAGCACATAACGAAGGAACATGTGAAACTTTACTTAGGATTCTCACTCACTCAGAGATAAGCTTTGTCGGGTGGCTTAAGGATCCGATAGGTTCAACTAAACAAAATAATTTAACCTACCAAATCCCATCTGCTGATTGTGAGATCAAGTACATAGGTCAAACCAACCGGTCGGGGTCAATCAGATTATCGGAACATAAGAATTTAACCAGAGGTAGAATGCTAGACCGCGGTAGGAGTAGTCTGATAGGGGGATTGTTTAATCATCATAGTGAAGTTGTTGTTTGTTAATGACCACTTAATTCTCAAAAATATTTCAATTTTTACTTTTCGGTTACTTTACAGAACAATGATAAAGGACCTTACGCATCGACATTTATTCATTGGCCGTAACAGCAAACACAATAGAACAACAAGTCACTAAAATAATAAACAGCGCATGCACCTTCTTCGTTTTTCTTAATATATGCATATTGACGTAATTTATTTAACTGCTTTTACACCTTTTTCCAAAAACAATATATCTAAGTAGAAATGTTTTGTTGTTATTACGGCGATCTTTGGTTGTATTAAGTTTTTTTCAATGCCGGTTCAAGTGATAAATGGGTTTTTGAAAAGTATACTTGATGATTGGTGCCAGGAATTCCTGGATCTAGGTTTCATAAATATTCATAAAGCGATATGGATTTGATTTCACCAGATGGACATACTACACTAAAAATCAGATCGACTTCATCTCAGTGTGAAGAAAATGGAGACAGCCTACTGGACACAAGATGAAGAGCGGGAGCACATGTGGGTTCACACCACTCACTATCCAGTGTAAGGAACCTTCCAAAAGCAAAATATTAATCCGTATCATCCTGGAGAGACTAAAAGAATCGCCGGATTCAAAATACAACCAAGACAGGCTGGCTGATTTCAGGAAGAACAAATGAAGTAGAGATCAAACTGTAACGCTACGCACCATCGTAGAATGGCAGTCAACTCTCAGCGTCATCAATTTTGAAAAGGCCTTCGACAGACAAGTAATTTGGCAGACAGCTGCTTCAACACTATGGAGATGGAGTGGACATTTACTGAGAAGACCATTTGGGGACATCATGCGCCAGGCCCTGGAGTGGAACCCAAAGGGAAACGACAAGTTGGGTGTTCGAGGGTGATATGGAGGAGATCATGTGAGGAAGAAATGAAAGCTTATGGGCAGTCGTGGAGTCAGGTTGAAAAGACTGCATAGAAGAGAGTGAAATGGTGACGTTCTACTGAAGCCCTATGTTCCACTAGGAACCCAAGGGATAAATAATAATTAAAAAAGAGGACATCGAAGAATGAATACATCTACGCTACTGACTGCCATGTCACCAAGATTCCCCGACCACTGATTCATTCTGTCTTACGGACCCCCAGTCAGATAGTTTACATTTCACATAGTTCATACCAAGAGTTAAGAACTTCACGGACTGGTGCCAAGTGTAACTCCGGCGATCCTAAAGCCTCTTCCAACCTACCCTAATCGGTCCTATTTATTTTACATTACTGTCAGTTGCACTGTTAACATAGAGATTCAGTAATTAATACTAATATTTGTAATTTCCAGTTGCTGCATAGGATTCAATGGTATGTGATGTCCTGTGTGTAGGCCTTAGTATTGCCTGAAGACTCATCATAATTTGTTCTATGGTGGCTAACAATGGGATACAAGATACGCGTTTCGATCTCTTTGAGTTTTGTTAGCTGGGTGTATCTGCATATCATTGAGTGGTGCTGTTCCCACTGAGGTTTATAGGACAAGAGAGTCCACTTATTGTATAACAGATATGAGTTTTTTTATACCTGTGATTCCCCGTTTTACTGGATCGAAATGATCTCCCTCTGTTGGCATATATATGAATCCTTCCACATATTCTGAAGAGGGAGAGATATGAGTAATGTGTTCTTTTTATGCTGAATGTTATCTGTGATTCACTAGTTTCTGCTGAGCAGTGTAGGTTATCAGCTCACAAGTTTCGGTTTACAAACCCGGATGGTATCGGTTCATCACGTAATACGCATAATTTAAAGCTATGAATCTGAACTCAAAGTACTTGAGTAAGCGCAGTCGATCTGAGTTATTCAAATTAATAGGTAATAAAAACTGGAATAGTTGAAAGCTTGTTAATATACGTAATCGAATTGATCATAATTCAAATCGCAAGTGACGGTACCATTGAATGTGGATAACTGCAGTTTGGTCTTCAGAGAGAGTGAACTTTAGTCTAAGCTTTTCAGAGTAGTAGAATAGTATACAGTTCGATTGAACTGTATAAATAAATTACCGTATTGCCTTCTTGGACTTCAATATTTTATGCTTGGAATTTATAGTTTTACCTTCAATGGTTTTTCTCATTTGAACCCTATTTAGGTGCGGATATATGCATAGTAAGTAATTGAAATAGCCTGAAACAGTTTGTAGATTCCACCACCAATTGTGAATAGAGACTGGACATTTCGGTTTATTGATGGGGGATTGTAAGGAGTCTTCTGACACTTGGAAAACGTATTTAAATTTTTTAAATATCATATAAACATGACAAAAAAACTATGGTTTTTTTACAAATTAATTGATAACAGCATCTATGTGCTATCATTATCATATCGCACTAGTTTATACAAATGATGAAGTTCATTTTCACTGGCTGTTTCTGTAAAATATTTTGGTAAATGTATAAATTTTTCAAATTTATTCACAAGTAAACGTGTTAAACGTAAATAGAATTCTGGAGTATACGGTAAATAATCCATATATATCCTTGATTCTGTAAGATAACCAGCCCATTTAAAAGGTATAGCTGGTTCTATTTGTGTCCCTTCATGCCATTCATTGAAAGATACAATCCCTATACCGTTTGGTTGACTAGTCATTGCTTGGTTAAATATTTTCAGGTATGTTGAACCATATTCACGTGATTTACTTGCTGCACTATTCCATGGACGAACAGATAAATCATGATATCCTGGACCAACACTAGGATAAAATGCAATATTATACTTTGAACATTGTTTTTGCAAGTTATTCCACACATCAGGTGAGCTATAATATATATTTATAGAACAAAAGAATAGATGTATTACATGAAAATCGATTAACAGTGATTATACAAGTGTATAGATAAGTGTAATGTTATCGATTTACTAAAATTTCATGTATTAGACTATGGGTCACATACTGTATACACCACCCGTTTACTCAATATGGGGGTTTGAATCCAGTACGTGTTCAGGTAAAGTCAAGTGTTTAAGCCAGTGAGCTACAACTCAAATAGTATGCTTCATACAGCAGTACTATCTGATGAATATTTGTTTACTCGATTTATCAGTAGTGTTGATTGTATGACTTTATTGTGGCTAAGGTATATGGACTGAATTTCAATCAGAAATTAAATGATTAATAATCAAGTGTGTAGAGGATAGAGCTACATTTTGCAGTATAACTCTAAGAATATTTTGGATGTATTACTGATCTGGCGAGACTTTACATTTGCTTTCTACTAATTTATATGATCAACATCTAGTTTAGAGGCTTAAAAAGGTAATGGAGGTCAAGAAAAGGTGAAACTAACAATATCTTGCGTATGATTGACCATTTTAAGAGAAGTGCGGAAGTATAAACTTATCAGTTGTAAATTGTAAGTTGGTAGGATAACCCCTAAGCTATATAGTCACCGCTAAAAAATTTCACATCAGAGTATAGTTTCCACTATAGCTATCTTGTTAACTAGTTAAATGTTATCGACTTCCATAAACTGTAGAAATTATGGGAAATATTTGTATTCAGGTGATTCATCTTGTTTATGTTGCGTTATCTGAACTGGATAGTTCAATAGTGAAGCTTTTATTCATTTTCTAGACAATATCGTTATCAGCAAATTGAATATGAAGCGTGAAAACATTTTCCAACTGACCGTTTCCCCACCTTACCTTTGACCTTGGAATTGTTTATCGTTTTACTTACTGGTTGGTAGATTGAGTATACCTACCTATACACCTGTTAAAGGCTGCACTCTATGCGTCTAAGAATTTATAGTATATTTTCCGTTTCCTCTGTTCATGGTCTCCATATTTTCGAAATTGAATTTATATCCATATTTGTCTATATGCACTGATATAAAAAACAAGATGCTATTACGCTTAATCGCCAACTGGTAGTCATGCGAACGAGGGCGACCATTTTGATCAAGTTAGTGTCCATCACATTTGATTTTGTAAGTGGATATATCCCGAAGAATTTGAATCTTACGGGTTCACAGGGTTTTAATAGCCCAATCGCTTGGCATTTATTTGGTAGTCGACATAAAGTTGTTCAAAGTGATCAATCAACTTCATACACGAATTTCCCTATATGAATTTGAAAAGAGAAAGAACAACAATGTCTGTTTTCGGTGGTATCTTCCGCTACTTACAGCCCAGCATATCAAAATATGCAAGCTTTTACTGAAAACTTAAAATACCTTATCCCCATTGGGCGAGAATAGAATATCGGTCAGTGGTTAAGACGGAGAGAAATGGTCATAGATTAAAGGTTGAGCATAACAGCAAATTCAAGAAATCCTAACAAATGGTCACGATTTTACATACATAATCTAATGGGAGTTTCTTGAATAAAATAACAAAAGTAGTCGTGAAAATATTGACGGATTTAACACTATTACATTGTATAAGAGTAAGTCATACGATAACTAAGCAAAATGTCCCGAGTTAATTTCAGTTACTTAAAAGCATTCGATATAGATAAGGGTGAGAGAATAAACGCCTACGGTTGATAAAGAATGATGTCACCAAATATCAGTCAATTAAGGTCACATTGGAACATCGAAATCATTTGTAGAGAAACTGTGGACCGAAGCTAGTGGCTTTGAAAAGTTAGTGATATGAGCATTGTATGCCGGATAAAATTCTTCAACTTCACAAATGATCTTTAAAGCAAGACTTATAAGAATTTTCGTAGGACGTTAAAGACTTTGATAAAAGGGCAACTGTATGGAGACTCTCCAGAAAACCTCGCCTAAAACATTCACAACCTATCTAGTATAAAACTGAATTCAAATTGAATCTAAAGTACTATCACTGAGTTTTATGTTTCAAGTCTCGAAGAAATTCACTGATGAAATGGATGTGGAGTCTCAGTTTAAGAACTTATCCAATCAACTGGCACTGAATTAGGAAGGGTCGGTTTATATTGCAAACCAGTATCTTGTTTCACCAACTTCAGAGTCTAGAATTTTCTCAAAAGAACACCAGGCGGAGTTAGAAAGTGTGAAGAATGACGATAAAATAGTGATAATGAGACCAGATAGAGGTTCGAGTGTTGTAATGAATAAGAATGATTATATCCCTAAGATAAGCTCGATTCTTCAAGATTCACTGAAATTCAAAATTGAGAATTCCCAAAAGGATTTGATTCATATAACAGAAAGACGAATCACAAAAACGTTGAAAGAACTTTTGATAAGGAAACTGATTGATAGTTCTAAACATAATGATTTGAAACCCTGAGGATCTCATCTGCACTGTATGTATGGATTACCAAAGATAAATAAGCAATGTTCTTCCCCCCCCCCCGCCGACCTATTTCATCGATGGTTAATTCACCTTATCACAAATTGACTCATTGGTTGGCTGAAAAATTGGAACCAGTTCATTGGCAATCGGCTGCATGTAGTCTTAAAGACTCCTTTCAATTTAAATGATATTGGTGTTTCAAAGAAGTTCATGATGTCGTTTGATTATATGGCTTCCTTATTCACAAACACACCTCTTCAAGAAACCACAGATGTCATATGCCAGCATTCGAATCTTCTCCCCACATTAGCACAAAAGTTCAGGTGCCTTAAGCATTTATCAACAGATATGAAAAAACAAGACAAAAACTCTGTATTTATTCACCCCAATTTCAAAGGTGATGGTATTTCAGGAACTATAAGCAGACGATTAAAGATATCATTGGCTAGAAATTTTTCTCCAGCCAAGTTAGTTCCTGTGAACCAAATGATGTGCTATTTGGTCAAAAGTTGACAGGTACCCATCCTATGTTACCTGTGATCGTGTATATCAATTTACGTGTAGCAACCGAAGTAGATACATCAGAAGAACAAAAAGAAGGGGATACCTTGGATCTTCTGAACACATTCTAAAGAGCCTATGACTGAGGGGAAGTACCAGTTTGAATAGTTCAGTAACTTGCCATTTGATTTATACTGGACATCAAACAGACGTCTTCAATTCTTTCAAAATAATAAACAAACTAACGAGCTCAAATCTAAGGAAGTTTGCTTAAGCCATAGCCATTAAACGCCTCAATCCTAATTTGCGTTCAGAAAGTTAATCTCTGTCTACCATGGTAACCCTTCTTGACTATTATTTGATGATACCATCCTTTATCAATTATAGATGTTTATTCCCTCACTCTTAATTATTGGCATCATCTATTTATATCGAATGCTTTTAAGTAACTGAAATTAACTCGGGACATTTTGCTTAGTTATCGTATGACTTACTCTTATACAATGTAATAGTGTTAAATCCGTCAATATTTTCACGACTACTTTTGTTATTTTATTCAAGAAACTCCCATTAGATTATGTATGTAAAATCGTGACCATTTGTTAGGATTTCTTGAATTTGCTGTTATGCTCAACCTTTAATCTATGACCATTTCTCTCCGTCTTAACCACTGACCGATATTCTATTCTCGCCCAATGGGGATAAGGTATTTTAAGTTTTCAGTAAAAGCTTGCATATTTTGATATGCTGGGCTGTAAGTAGCGGAAGATACCACCGAAAACAGACATTGTTGTTCTTTCTCTTTTCAAATTCATATAGGGAAATTCGTGTATGAAGTTGATTGATCACTTTGAACAACTTTATGTCGACTACCAAATAAATGCCAAGCGATTGGGCTATTAAAACCCTGTGAACCTGTAAGATTCAAATTCTTCGGGATATATCCACTTACAAAATCAAATGTGATGGACACTAACTTGATCAAAATGGTCGCCCTCGTTCGCTGACCGGTATTCTATTCTTACCCAATGAATTAAGATATTTTTAATTTTCAGTAAAAGTTTGCATATTTTTGATATGCTGGGCTGTGTGTAGTGGAAGATACCATCGAAAACAGACAGATCCATTTTAAAAGCAGCAGCGAATGTGAAAAAAGCTGGATGTAATGAATTCATCGATTTTAGTAGTACTCATCAGCTGGATAATCTACATATTTGATTATATATACCGTGAAGAAATGGAAAAGAACATACATATATAAGGTAGACTGAGACAGATTCAGGTATAACAACATAAAAATGTTTTTATGGGTCAAATGTTAATGCAATACACACCTGGTTTCTTTATTATCTCCATAAGTACTATTAACTATCTTGTTTTCAATGACAATTGACGCTCAGTCGATTCAGTTCTCACCCTTATGTCAACATTATTACTGTTATTATAATTTTATTATAATTTTCTACCTGAAGTCCACTATTATCTAGACTCAATTAACCTATTCCCAACCCATTCAATTTTGAATATCTATTTCTGTCCTTTGCATTTCCATTTGACCTGTAAAAGGTGTTCATTTCTATGTTGCTTCACCTCAATCTATCTCAGCCTACGTTATATATGTATGTATCTTTCTTGTTTTTCATTGTTTAACGGTATATATAATCAAGTACTTAGAGTATCCAGCTGACGACTACAACTGAAATTTATGAATTCCTCAAATCCTACTTTTTTCCCATTCGTTTTATTATTTCTCACTTGGGTTCCCAGTGGACCATAGGGCTTCAGTAGAACGTCACCATCACCATTTCACCCTCCTCACTGCAGTCTTTTCAATCGGACTCCACAACTCCTCACAAGCTTTCATTTCTTCCTCACTTCATCTCCTCCATGTCACCCTCGTCTTGGACGCCCAACTCGTCGTTTCCCATCTGCATTCTACTCAAGGCTCTGACCTGGTGCGTGATGTCCCCGAATGGTCTTCTCAGTGTATGCCCAATCCATCTACACTTTCTTCCGCATATTTGTTGGACGATGGGTTCCTCGTTGGTTGGTTGGTTCGTTGCCCACCAGAGTGCCTTGCTGCTCATTTTTATTGTTCTGGCCATCTGATCGCCATCTTCAGTATCGAGTGAGCGTAGGTAGCAGCTGTTCATCAATGTCTGTAGTTTGTTGGAAATGCTATTCGTAGCGCCCCAAGTCTCTCAACCATCACATAGAAGCACTGACTTGATATAGTGTTGAAAATCTGGATCTTGTTCACGCTTTATGCTGTGTGCGGTGCAGTTCAGTGTAGTAGATCTCCACACTGGTTTCAGATCAATCAACGCCTATCTTGCTGTCTTTCCGATGCAGGCCGTGACATCCTCATCTGTGCCTGTGCCGCCTGTAGTTGAAACGATGCTGCCTAGGAAGGTGGGTAGGTGAAGCAGACAACTTCCTTTATATTTCCCACCTTCATAGTAACTGGTGATTGTTGTTGTTGTTGTTGCTGCTGCTTGGATATCTTCATCCCCTCTGTCTTCTCTACGTTCACCTGAAGGATGTGCCGTCCTCACTGCCTCTTCTGTTAACTTGTTGGTTTTTGCCTGCAGATCTTCGAGTTTGTGCGACATTGGACATAAGTCATCATCGACGAAATCCAAATGTTCTAGGGTCTTTTCATCGCATCGGTCAGACAGCGTATACCCCTCTTCTCGCTGCTCACAGTTTGTTGCACAATGCAGTCGGCCACAATCAGGAAGACGATCGGTGATGACAGTAGGCGGCAACCTTATCTCACTCCTGTCTTCAGTTCAAAGGCGTCACTGAGCTTTCCATTGTGAATTACTTGGCATGTGGCGTTGTCATATAGTTGTTGAATGGGGTTGCCGAAGTTTGTTGGTTTCACATTCATTGCTTGATTTAAATTTGTTCCGGGAAGCAAATGTTTCCAATTTCTAGACATCCGTTTTATCCTACTCCTTTTGTTCTTCTTGCTCTGATTAATAAATACCTCGAACCTACCCTCTTGTAGTTTGTTGAAGCAGTTGCAATTAAATGACTCAAACTTTATCTGTGTATTGAGAAGGAAGCTGGTGTCAATCTCGGTCCACCTCCGTCATCTTTTAGCCTCCTGAATTTGTAAATACAAAACTCATAACCCTACTTTTTTACCTTATTTTTCGGTCTATCGTAAAACCTACTCCTCACTTTCTGAGTTGAATTCACCTTACTGCTACTACTCAATATATTGAGTACCTGTTGGCTTTTTATTAGGCTTGCTTAACCATGATTTCATTTTTACCAATTCCAGAGTAAACTTGTACACAGCCCCTCTCCCATTTGTATAGATAAATAGATCACTGTACATATAGTTAATCTTTGAGTAGTCTTACCAATTTTATCAATTTCGGTTAGACTAGATCTTTCTTACCTTCCATCGCAATCGAAATATTTTTGTCGACTTATGAAAGTACGGTATAGAACACGTTCTTCAATCATAAACATCATATTGTATAGATTGTAAAGCAGCTGAGGAGAAGAATCTACAATTTAAATGCGTTTTAATTCTGCTACTATTGTTCTTCTTGCTTTATTGAAACTTGTGAAAAGTAAGAATTGTATGATATTTGGTTCATGTTCCGCTGTCGCATCTGCTAATCCGTATAATATGGCTTGCTAGTGTATGAGTCATAACAACAAATGTTTTAATCATTCTTATCATTAATATTTCGTTTAGGCACTTCAGGATGATCTGTTTGTTGATTTCCGTGAATAACGTTTTAATTGACTTGATGAGTGGAATAGGTATATTCTGATAATGGTCATTGGCTAATTTTCTTCATTTTTCCGTGAAGTTGCTGTACTACAGTGTGTATTTGCTCAACACAACTAAGTTCATACGTTATGATATAGCCAGTATTTAAGCATGCCAAGCACATTTCTGATTCAGAAGTCTCACTGCTCACCTCCCAACCATTATGATAGAAATTCAGGTTCTGTTCCATTTGTTTCAGAGGGATGTTAGTATTCAAGAATGGTCATCAATTTCACGAAGTAACACATTCTAGTAGGATTGAAATTTTTGTAAGTTATATCACCTGGCTGATTTCATCATATACTACTTTATATCTATCCGTTTTTATATATTCTTTCATACTACTTAATATTATTGAGTAGTGTCATTCATATTTTCCTTTAATGTTACTTCATCTTCGACTTGACAATTCATTCTATTCAATCATATCTTGTTCATCATTTAACGGCTCTAGACATTAGTTTCTTTCCGAGTTTATGATAGCGTAGTGATCCCTTTTCTTACTCTCTGATATTGTATATTATCTTGAACATTTGTTTATCTCCTGTCTTGACCTAATTGTGGGAACATACGCGCCTCTTTAATATTCCCTTTTAGTTTGTTTTGAACACAACCTTGTTGTTGTACTATTGATGCACTCTTTGTAAGGTGATTTGACAGCGATAAATCCACATATACTTCATGACTCAACGTTTGCAATCTATTGTTCACCATTGTTTAATTCATAAAGCATCGTATTTCTGATAGATCCTGTGTTTTGGATTTTACACGTTTGGTTTATTGTTGGAGAATTGCTTTGGTTCCAAATTTCTTACAAGGAAATTCACAATATACATACTCAGTGACCAACCTTGAAGCTGTTTGACTACTTTGTTGAAGTTAATTCATAGCTCATCCCACTGTCTACTTTCTATACTAGCTACAGCTGGAAAGAGTTGATGAAGAAGTGTCATTCTTTTGTAATTGGAATCATTTGAAGAATGTGTATTCCCCAATGCCTGTATTAATAATCAAAACTCAAATGTCTACATAAAATGATGTAATACTAAAACGTTTTGACTTATACTTGTAAAGAATAAGTATCAGTCACCTACCTAGCCTCGGATATCTTATGACCAACAAAATAAGTATAGCCACCGTTGAATCCAGATTCATGAAGGGTTTTACAGTCACCGGCTCCAAGTAATAATCCAATCAGAAATCCATTGTACGGTTTATCTCTAATACTTGTCCTGGAATCAGGTTGAAGTATCTAGTTGACAATAAGTAGAAAATTCAGCTCGTTACTATGATAAGTACATTTTGAAAAGTTATTTAAATACTTAGTCTAGTATATCTGTTAGTAGATGAGCTTCTGTGTGGATATCTCGATACTGCCGGATATTCATAGTGTTGTATTCAATTTGGTGACTAGTAGTAAAGTCTTGGACGCGTGTTTCGTCCGCCGGACATACCAGTATCCCACTAAGTGATGATGTCCTCATGGAAAGTGAAACCCAGTACCCATCGCTTCAAGCGCCAAATGAGAAGTATTAAACAACAGCTGATATCCGTTGCACGAGGGGTGGCTCTCGTGCCCCAATGGTCTAGTAGATAACGCTTTGTCGTTTGAAGCGATGGGTACTGGATCCGAGTCTCAGTAGGAACAACATGACCAACTAGGGTGTAGGTACATCCAGCTGACGAGTCCCAAATAGGAGGAAACGCGCATGGTCTGTTGGTCTGAGCCTTGTGGGAAGATATAGACTATCTGGCTGGGGTGCGCGAGATGATAGTATTCACAGCTTTAGAACTCTTGGTGGCTCAGGTGTATTCACTCCTTGACATCTTATACAGCTTGAATATTCCCGCTGACCTTTACCTTCAGATTGTTTATTCTACCACACTACTTTATCTTCCTTGATATCACTGTTTTTCTATTCACCTGTTCTGTGAAGTGTGGCAACTTCAGCCGATGCACTTAAGTGTGAGGCTGTTCTGTGTTGATTTTGTCTGTCTGTCGGTAACCGCATACACGCTCGTGGACTAAGCAAAGAATAACTACTATTGTGTAACACCTAATGATACTGCTTGTCTGTCCATACCTCGGTAGGTAGAATGACTTACAAACTTGTGTGATCCAGTGGTTGAAAATCATCTACCTACACCAGTGATCCAGAGCTCTACAGTGATGATAATAATATGCCATCGAAATAGTAAAGTAGGATGAGACAGCAAACAGTTACAAACAATTAGTCATTTCATCTAACCAACGGTTTATCATATCTTGTGAACTTCATTTAAGTGGTATAGAGTTTTGAGCATATTTTGAGGCTGAGTTTGTAGTTTTAGGAATAAATGGTATTCTCATCAATTTTAGGTTTTCAATCATTGTATTCTCAATAGTATTACACTTCAAAATAACACGTAAACCGTCCAGGACCTCATCTGATAAAGGCGAACAAATCAACTAATTTATTACATTTGTTAAAATCATGTTGAGCACAGTCACACTGCATCAGTCGGCATAACTAACTCTGGAACTAATATTGGTGTGAAAGTTAGACACTGTAGTAGAATTTAATTTCATGTTAGATTTGTTTAATTTATGTATAACACACGGTCATACAGTAGTATTATATACTGTACTACATCGTGTATTATAAATCAAATAAACAAATCTAATATGGAATTAACTCTGGAATTCTTTGAAAAAGATGTGGAAGGAAACCTGCATAACTGTGCTAGGAAGGAAGAAGAAAAAGACAAGGAATGGATATCCACGGATACATGGAAGCTGATAGAGGACGGAGAGGAAGATGGTGAAGCAAAAGATGAACCAGTGCAGTACAAGAAGGAACAACGTAATGAGGAACTGAACACAACCTATAAAACACTACACTGGACAAAGAAGTGAAAAAGAGTGCGCGGAAAGGTAACAGACACTTATACGACACACTGGGAAGCAAAGCAGAACAGGCTGCTGGTAGAGTGACCTGGCAACACTGTCAAATAATCAGGTTACTATACGGGAGGGAAGAGATCAACGGAAATGAAACCAATGAAAGATAGTGAAGGAAACCTAGTTACCGCCAAATAGGAGAAACAGAGGGAACGATGGGCTTACCTCTTTAAAAACTCTTGAGTCAACCACCACCACCAACTGCAACTCGTCGAGAAATACCACTAGCAGCCCAGCCACGGGACTATCAGTGAATGCAAACCCTCCGACAAAAGCAGGAGTGAAGTCCTGAACGCCATAAGGTTGGCGAAATCCGGTAAAGCAGCATGACCACATGGAATTTCGTCAGAAGCACCTGGCCATTGATTGGAAGAAAGGCTACCCTGTCAAACTCCTAACGAAAGGAGACCTAAATCTTTGCAGGAACTGGTGCGGAATCATCCTCCACTCCTCTCCACCTCCAGCAAAATATTAATCTGCATTATCCTGGAGAAACTAAAAAATGTGCTGAATTCGGAATCACGATCGAAACACGCTGGTTGGCAGGCTTCAGGAAGAACAAACCGTGTGTGGATCAAATTGCAACGCTACGCATCATCATAGAACAGAGTATAGAATGGCAGTCAACTCTCTACCTCAACTCCATCGACTTTGAAAAGGCCTTCGACAATGGCGACCGAGAAGCAGTTTGACAGACAGCTGCTTCAACTCTACGGAGTACCGCGAACCTTTATCAACTTCATTCAACAGTTATATGAAGACGCCACATGCCAAGTAATTTACAATGGAAAGCTCAGTGACGCCTTTGAACTGAAGACAGGAGTGAGATAAGGTTGCCGCCTACTGTCATCACCGATCGTCTTCCTGATTGTGGCCGACTGGATTGTGCAACAAACTGTGAGCAGCGAGAAGAAGGGCACACGCTGTCTGACCGATGCTATGAAAAGACCCTAGAACATTTGGATTTCGTCGATGATGACTTATGTCCAATGTCGCACAAACTCGAAGATCTGCAGGCAAAAACCAACAAGTTAACAGAAGAGGTAGTGAGGACGGCACATCCTTCAGGTGAACGTAGAGAAGACAGAGGGGATGAAGATATCCAAGCAGCAGCAGCAGCAGCAGCGGCAACAACAACAACAATCACCAGTTACTATGAAGGTGGGAAATATAAAGGAAGTTGTCTGCTTCACCTACCCACCTTCCTAGGCAGCATCGTTTCAACTACAGGCGGCACAGGCACAGATGAGGATGTCACGGCCTGCATCGGAAAGACAGCAAGACAGGCGTTGATTGATCTGAAACCAGTGTGGAGATCTACTACACTGAACTGCACCGCACACAGCATAAAGCGTGAACAAGATCCAGATTTTCAACACTAATATCAAGTCAGTGCTTCTATGTGATGGTTGAGAGACTTGGCGCGTTACGAATAGCATTTCCAACAAACTACAGACATTGATAAACAGCTGCTACCTACGCTCACTCGATGCTGAAGATGGCGATCAGATGGCCAGAACAATAAGAATGAGCAGCAAGGCACTCTGGCGGGCAACGAACCAATCAACCAACGAAGAACCCATCGTCCAACAAATATGCGGAAGAAAGTGTAGATGGATTGGGCATATACTGAGAATACCATTCGGGGACATCACGCGCCAGGTCAGAGCCTTGAGTAGAATGCAGATGGGAAACGACGAGTTGGGCGTCCAAGGCGAGGGTGACATGAAGGAGATGATGTGAGGAAGAAATGAAAGCTTGTGAGGAGTCGTGGAGTCAGATTGAAAAGACTGTAGTGAGGAGGGTGAAATGGTGACGATGACGTCCTACTGAAACCCTATGGTCCACTAGGAACTCAAGGGAGAAATTAGTATAATACTCTAAACTTACTTTTCAGTATTCAGACGTATCTATATATGAGTTTTAGTAAACTGTATAGTGGTTACCTAAATTACAGCAGATTGCATAGTATTTCAAATTAGAAGTAACTGTTACTGAAGCATTCTGAATAAAACAACAACGGTAGGGAGATACAGTTTTTTAAGAATGAACACTGAGAGGTGGAAAGTTACTTTGGTAATCGAACTTAAATGGTACTTATCACTTTCGTGTGTTAATGTAAACTTGAGAGAGCACGTATACGATGACAAAACACTTAGTGACTCTCAGGTGCTCACTGAAGAAGGTATAAAACACTACGCACAAAGTTTTGAAAGGTTGAATCAAATAGGCTAGGTGCACTCCATATACACAACTAATAGAAGTAAGATATTAATGAAGACAAGAGGGATGGGAACAAGAAAACGGTGAATCAATAGAAGTTATTGCGATTCTTACAGTTTTGGTGGTAAGTAAGGAATATATCGATCGATTTCCAGCCATGTCACTGAAAGTCTCCATCTATTCATGTCTGACATTTTGAAGATCTGAACCAAGTGGCTTCTTAATTAGAACAGAGTTTACACGAAAAGTCTATGAGCACGTTGTTAGATATCATATCGTAGTCAGCTAGTTTAGGTGAAGGAAATTTATACGATAAATTTGTCATATCAGCTTTCACTTCGCGGCAGAACATCCGTTACAAAGTAAAAAACAAAGAAACTGTATATATAGTACCTAGAACTTATATGAAACAGCCAATAGTTTTTAGGTAGAAGAAAAGCAGTGAGTTTATTAGTTATATTTACCTTCTTCCATTCTGATGGCCGTATTCTATAAGAGTCGTAGACATAGAATACAGGTAGTGACTGACCTTTCCCTTTGTCTCCCAAGTGATTAACAGGTAAACGATAATAGGCTGGATGAGTTGTGTAATCCTTTGTATGTATATACTTTAAATCTTTGACAATTGTACCCACATCACGGTTTTTATATGGCTCCAAATGTAAACAAACCTAGGAGAAAATGAATAATTATCAGCGTGTAAAAATTAATCGAATTACTCAAATTTTTGGACGGTCATAATGGCAACAAAAATCTTGATACACTAAAATCCAAGAGATCAGTTCACCTATTGACTCTGAGGTGAACATATTCACAACAACTGTATGAAACAGACTTCTCTAGTACTTCATTTAACAGTGAATATACATCCTTGATAATGCTGCATACCCTAACGTGAATAGCACGAGAAACGTATTACCATTGGTCTACAGTTCTTCAGATTTTTATTCCTTTGCACCACAATATCTAATTCTGATGGCGTAAATCTATATTGGTGTGAACGGTGACATTTGAATAGATATTCACCTGGATTACATGATTATACGGAAACTTACAGATTCCCGAAATTTTCAATATGGATTCTTTGGTCTCCGAAGACATAAGCATAAGAATTTATGGTAAAATAGACGTTTATCTAGCGTAACAGGCATTATGAAGACGAATCAAACATGTCGACTGCTTGTAACGGGAATATGGAGTTTTGCGCGACCTTGTTGCCACCACTAGTGAAAAAAAAGTATGTCTGAAAACGATCTAAACTTCAACACTTTGTGTATGCTGAAAAGTGGTATCTTCTTGTTCATTCCGTAACTTGTGGAATCTTCTGATTTTTTAATAGAATTCAATGACCTCCCTTTTGTGCTATTCAAGACCCGTAAAATCTTTTAAATTTTTCAATATATATCAATGTGATGATGCCTGTGAACTGGCTTTTCTCATGTTACATTAACAATATGTGAATAGAATATTTATTTATTTATTTAATGCGAACAACCTACTTAAACAAATTAAAGTAGTAAAACTAGAAATGCTAAATTATTGACCGTGTGTATTTTAAAATTTTCATCAGCAAGAGTTATTATGCTTAGAGGTGTTAGGATTTTCCATGAAAATTTCGTTCATTAAATTAGGATCCGAAAGGATATTTGTTTCATATAAACTCTTCCTTTCCGTGTTCCTCACCAATTCTAGTTAAACTCGAGTCCAGTCAACCGATTTTGCATACCATAGCCAAAATAAAAATATTTCATTGTTCATAAGAATATATTTTAATATAATCCCAGCTTGTTTAGAAATCAAAACAAGATATTTCTGATTGTTTCGCTGTGTAGCCACAGCTTCTTCAGCAGAACATACGGGTTTTTTTTATTAACATCAAATATATACTCAAATGATACATCAAATATATTTAGTGAACTTAAGTCATTGGTTGGATGATTTTCATATCCAACCTGAGTAATTAAGATTAGTCGTTACAAGTTCATGGCTGTTATTATTGTCATTTGTCAATGAATATATAACAGAAGTTGTAAATATGAACCATTAGATTCTGACCCAGTGGCTCAATGGGAACCTGACGTTTGTGGGTTCGATCCCTGGCGGGGTTGTGCGTGCGCACTGCTGAGGAGTCCCATACTAGGACGAAAAGGCTGTCCAGTACTCCCAGGTTTCCTTCGTTTCTCCAACTAATGTCAGTCTACGATGAATAACAACTTGAAATATTTCCAAATCCCCACAACTCCTTCAAAATATATATGTCAAAATGTGTGTGCGTGTGTTTGTGTAGATTGTAAAAAATTTTATTTATTGTACTTTTATCTATCACTGTCAATAATTGCTATTGCACTTTAATTGGAAAAAGTCATCACTGATGATTTTGGTGGGTTAATGTTTGCCAGACAGGTGACAAATCTGGTCCTTCTTTTCTGTTTATAATAGCCTTTGATGTTGTTACAATACGCAGGGCCTCGGAAGTTAATTTTTCTCTGTATGAATGGAAGCATTGTATGGTATAAATTGGCTTTTTTACTGTCTAATTTTGATTTGTTTGGTTTCGTTAGGTGTTCGAATTTTCGAATATGTCTTTGCTTAATATTTTGGAAATATTTCGATTCTCGATCCTGACACAATTTCATTATTACAGAAAGCTCACTGTGAGGAATAAGCACTTTTGAGGCTTTCGTCAATGTTCTTGGCGTGATTACGAAATTGTTCCACAAGGAGTGTACATTTATGAATTCTCTCACGCAGAGAAGTGTGAGATACAAGAGTGGTATGTAATTTATCCACGAAACAGCTAAATGAGCATGAAATGACACTTCAGAAGAAAGTGTTAAATTTTAATTTGTCCAGAAAGTCTCTTAAAACGATGGAATTAGCCGTAATTATGGAACCAGTGTTATCTCTTGTATCGAACGAACAAGCATATATGTTACGTCATAAAGTCGGAACTATCATAGCAAATCAGAAACCCATTGATTCTAACCTAACGAAAGCAGAACGAATAGGTTTAAAAACTCTGATGTCTGACAAATCAACAGTCATAACGAAAACAGACAACGGCAATGTCACGGTCGTGCTGGATAAAGAAGATTATGAAAAGAAAGCATATTCAAGCACACTAAATAAGAGATAATGTATATGTATGTGTATACATGTGTTATCCGAGGCCCTGCATATTTTAACATCAAATGCTACTATAAATAGAAAAGAAGGACCAGATTTGTCATCTATCTGGCAAACATTAATCTGCCAAAATCATTAATGATGACCTTCTCCAATTAAAGTACAATAAATATTACTGACAGTTTGATAAATAAAAATACAATAAATAACACATTTTCTACATTCTACACAAACACACATGCAAGAACATTTTGACTATCTTATACATTCGTTGAGAGAAACTTAAAAGAAGTAACCTCCTTCACCTATCTAGGAAGCACTGTCTCAACTACAGGCGACACAGGCACAGATGAGGATGTCAAAGCCAGTCAGAATCGGAAAAGCAAGACAGACGTTCATTAGCCTGAAACCAGTGTGGAGATGTTCTGCACTGCACTCAGCATGTGGAAAAAGATCCGGATTTTCAACACCAACGTCAGTCAACGCAGTGCTTCTGTATGGTTGAGAGACTTGGCGCGTTACGAAAGGCATTTCCAATAAACTACAGACATTCATCAACAGCTGCCTACGCTCACTGGTTACTGAAGATCAGATGGATTGCCAGAAGGAATAAGCAACAAGGAGCTCTCTCTGGTAACCAACCAACCAACAACTTATGGCTCAACAAATATGCAGAAGAGAGTGTATATGGGTTGGGCATACACTGAGAAGGCCGACTGGGGACATCACGTGTCAGGCCAAGGCAGGCCCTCGAGTGGAACTCAGATGGGAAACGACTAGTTGGGCGTCCGAGGTGAGGGTGACATGGATGAGATCGTGCGAGGAGGAAATGAGAGTTTGTGGGTTGTCGTGGAGCCAGGTTCAAAAGATTTCAGAGAAGAGAGTGCACTGGAGACGTGCTACTGAAGCCCTATGTTCCATTAGGAACCCAAGCGACAAATGATGAAAATGATGATGACGATGCATTCGTTGACAGTGACCATAACAACCATGAGCATGACTAATCTTAATTACTCAAGTTGGATATGAAAATCATCCAACCAATGACTTAAGTTCACTAAATATATTTGATGTATCATTTGAGTATATATTTTGATGTTAATAAAAAAAGCCCGTGTATTCTGCTGAAGAAGCTGTGGTTTACACAGTGAAACATTCAGAAATATCTTGTTTTGATTTTCTAAACAAGCTAGGATTATGTTAAAATGCGGTGAGGCTAAAAGCTATCCTGCTTGACATGAGATATAATGTTCTGTGCACCAATTCGCGTGTTTTCTGTATACTGTATGCATATTTTACCTATTTGTATAGTTTCTAAAAGGTCCTCTGTCACTGAATTACGTTACATACAGTTTATTCATGTGTAACGTATTGGTTGCACTTCTATCTCGTAGTTGCGATGTAAATTTCTTTCTTTCTGAAGAATGGTACTCACAAATCAAAGAAGTCAACCGAGTCTTCAGATTGCAGCAAAAAGGATTTACGATTTCAGCTTTCACTCGAAAATATACGCCTACAAAACACAGAAAATATTTATTTTCACACAGAATACTACTACTACAACACTTGGGGATAACTTTTAGTCTAACACGTTAAAATGTATTCTTATGATAATTCAATCAGACTCGGCGCTCAACTTCTTCCAATACATTCGTAACAACTATGGTCTAGATGTTTATAATCTTGCTTTTTTATTTGCCTGAACGTATCACTTTTGTAAAAAATTATGCGCTAATCTATAAAGTATTAAAGCTAATGATACTACCTATCTGCCTGATATGAAGCATGTTTGACCCCTTGGTATAATGACTTGTAGTTAAACAGTTAAAATATTGTACTGGAGTTACATTTCCTTAGAATAAATGTAAATTATACGGAAACGGTTTGTTGGTAAAATCATAAATAATACAAACCACAAGGTAAGTTTAATACTATACTAAACATAATACTGTATATTATATCATTTCAGTATACAGAACAAGAATAACTTGAGGAAACAGTTGTTTTCAATAATGTCTTAAGGCTCTATATTTATACAGCTATGAGAATAGATTAAATACAATAGCCAAAGTAAGGCATAGTGTAATAATGGAGAATATTTCTGGCTTAGGTGGATGGTCTCGGTTGTATTGTGCTCTCTGAGCTGGGTTGTTTAATCGTGAAGCTTTCATCGTCCTTCTAGACAGCGACATCATCAGCACTAACTTCAATATGAAGTGAGCTGTCAATATCTCTCCATGAGTGACTTAGTGGCTCGTTCTGACGATGTGGTCTGTGATTGGTTGTTTCCTTCGATTGTTGTGTCATCGATTGTATAGACTTTCCTGTTGGCTGTTCCTCTGCTTCACCTCTGACCTTTCTGTCGTTTATCATTTTTCTTATTGGTTGATAGATCGGGTCTATGTCTATACACCTATTGATTGCTGGCTGACCTGAATGCCAAGCTTCTAGAAACTCTCTGACATTCTTTGTGTTTCCTGTGTCCAAAATTTCTACATTGTTGAAATTGAATTCATGTCCATAATTATCCACATGCATTGAAATG